CTACATTCCAAGCATCACAAAGGACGTTGAATCCACACATCACCACGGATTGTGATCCTGGATAAACCCAAGCTTGCAGTGGACCAGAAGAGGATTTCCAGCAGTACCCAACCCCTTTGAAGGCTTCGAGGGGGTTTGGGTAGGGACCTCATCCAGGCAAAGAATTTGTGAATTAGTAGATGCGAACACTTACGGCCCGCTTCCAAAAAGTATTAGGAGCGCAATACGGCCCTCTTCGGAGGAACTATCATGGCACACAAGCATCAGACGACACGCTGTAGCAGCACCCTCAACAATGGAACTCAACTTGGCTGTGATCACGTGGCACCTGCATCTGACGAAATGCTGCACCTGCACTAGCACCTCAACAATGAGACTCGAAATGGCTGCGATTAGGGATCAGAGTCAAAGGATGGACAACCGCGCTTCATGAAGTCACCAAAATCTGCAAGGGGACGATCACGCTTACACCACTCACACTGCACCTTCAAGGCTTTGACCTCTTGAGCGTATTGTGGCCCGGAAAGTGTAGGATCAGGCGGCTGCGGCAACAGAATGAAATGCATCTTACGCTCAGCAGCAGTGGCGTTGTGCAAATCCACCCTCTCTCTCCGCTTTGACCAATCCGTGATTTTCTTAGAGAGCTTGGCGGACACTGGGGCTGGGGCCGGCGAGTCACCAGTATCATCCACGGCCTGTACACACCATTGATGTTGGATCTCACTCTCATGGCCTCGGCGCTCTTCCCTGCGCACAAAAATGGGCACCCTGCGCACCATGGCATCCCATTCAGACTCACGGGAGCGAACCAACAAGGGAGGTTGTTGGCGGAAGAAATCTGCGTCAGTCGCATAAGTTTCCTCACCAGCTACACGGAAAAAGTGTTCAACGATCTCCACATTGAGCAGCGTCGGCCTCCATACCAGGCCAGAGGTACGGGGCAAACCCCATTTGCGATGCAAGTACGAGACTGTCTGCGAACCCACTCCAATTGGCCAGGGTCGACGGTTCACACACCGCCCCACAGCTGAAGCAGCCGATGAAAAGGCCCGGCCACGTTGCCCTAACTGTTTCGGGTGCTCCTGCCGAGGCATTTCCAACATAACCCCTGTGGCAACCTCAAAATCAATGGCAAGCTCAAGCCATGAGATGTCATGGCTTCGGCCTTCCTCAGGCCACTGTAGTTGACCTAGATACCATTCCATCGCAGGCAACAAGCAAGGTTTTACTCCAAGCTGGAAAGTCATCCCAGCGTCCCGGGAAGCGAAGCCGCTAGCCCGCTTCACCAACAACCAAGGTTTGGGAACATCACGCCATTCCATAGACACTGCGTCCCCCATACGAGGGTTGAGGCCTAAGGCTCTGGAGTAAACCTTGAGCGGTCGATGGCTGACTCGCCCATGTTCCGTATCATGAGCGGAAGCAGGGGCCTCAACCGCAGCTGGGGGATCGTGAGCATCACCAACCGGAGGAGCTTTGTGTGAGCAACGGCGGCCACCTGTAGGATGACCATCCAACGCCTGCAACAACCTTTGTTGAAGCTGTTCCCAGCCTCGCACAACTTGCGGATGGTCCTGGACAGATTGAGGCTGCTGCTTGGCCTGATGAGTACGGGCAAGGCAAATGCAAACCATACACACTTGAATCCACATTGTGTCGCGCAAGAGCTGTCCAAACTGTTGCACACGAGCATTCCACTGAGCGTGGCAATGTAAGTCAACCCCCTTCTTAGCCAGAACATCCGCGGCATTGTTGCCGGCAACTTGCAGTGGCGTGACCCCATGTTCATGACAATCAGCCTGGGACAGATGCGACGGAACAAAAATGAAATGGACACGGACGGTGCGACAGGCTCTCCACAACCTAACCCAAAGATCACGGTGCTCCCACAGGCATGGGACACTGTCGCGGGCATGTAGTGTGAGCGCGCGCTCAACAACCCACCATGAATCAGAGTGCACCACCATAGGCCGTTCCCATGACACCCCTTGTTCAGCAGCAAGGAGAACTGCCAAAAGTTCGGCCCGATTGTTGGATTGTAGCTCACCAGCGAGAGCGGCAGAGAAGTTCAGAGAGGACCCTTCCCTAAAGAAAATGCCAAGACCGCTCCGGACCAAGTCAGGAATGCAAGAGTGAATCGTACTACCGTCGGTCCAGACTAGGATGCCTTCTGGCCCTTCCTGGACTTGATGCTGAGCAACCTCCCATGCAACAGCATCAGGTTGTTGTTGCGGCATTTGAGCCAACCGATCCCACTCTTCATGAAACCACTCTGGATTCATGGTTATTCCAGATGAGCGAGTCACGGGATGCAGGTGACGTTCCCACACCCCCGGACAGAATTTTTCAACGGTGGCACGCCTGATATAATCCCATGCCGGGCATTCCCAAAACAAGTGCTGCCTGGTTTCATCAACATTGTTGTGGCAATGAATGCACGTGGCATTGTCAACGAGGCGTTGCTTTACCAACTCATACCGAGATGTTGTAGCTCCAGTAATGACCCCCTCAAGTGCACCTAGCATGTACCTGGAAAGTGAACCACCGCAAATGCGAGCAAGCTGCCTTCTACAGTTTGGCACCAAGCAATCAATGTCTCTTCTGTTGAGACCCCCGCGCCACAGACATGTAGTTGCAAATACATTGATGCCAACCTCGCCGTGGACACCGGCCATGTCCTTGCGAGCAATGCGCTGCCATCTGCTCCATCGAAGTTCTTCCCTGAGGCGATGCGCCAGGAAGGACCCACTACCGTGCCACAAATGCAAAGCTCTACCTTGACGAGACTGAACGGTGTCAAGATCGACCCATTCAAGTTGCATGTCTCCCAACAAGTATGCAAGGTTACGCACCGGACCGACCATACGTGAACGATCCGCTTGATGGCAATGAGGCCACAGGGCAGCTGCACGTGCATACAAATCAGGACGTTTGCGGAACAGTCTACGCAAACCCATAACGGTTTGAAATGTGACAGCTTGAAAGGGATCAAGTAAATGTCCTTTGCGCAAAAGAGTCAACAAGATCTCAGGGTTGCGCTGTTGACGCGTTTGTGTCCACAACGTGGACGTCATTGCGTAGCGAACCCTTTCCATGGCCTTAACAGCAGGGCGACTAACTTCACAACCGTAGAGAAATTGTTTCATGGCCTTTGTAGCAGCATACTTCCCAGCAACGTGTGGTGATACACCTACTGAACGCATGCGATGCAGTGTATCAGTACACACCTGAGCCCGCTCATCACCAACAATCACTCGCCTAAGCTTGCCACCAACAATTTGGTGCCCAACGACCTTTGCCTGCGCACGTATCTCCAAGGCCCCTTCAGTGGCAGCAGTGATGGTTTTCCCCAGGGATGGCCGGGGCACGACAGCAAAGGATTTACCAGTATTGGTTTCCTGGCCGCTCAGAGCGTCAAACAGCTGGACTTCCTGCCACGCAGCGGTCGCAGCCTGAACATTGCTGGATTCAAAGCTGACACGGCTGTCATCGACATAGGCACGTGGTAGCAGGCCAAGTTTAGTATTCCTACGGCACCAGACCCCCATCAAAACATGAATCATGGCAACCGACAGCGCGCAACCTTGGAGCGGGGCAGTGGATTGCCAGGGTTCCCCCAAAACCCCATTGATTTTGAAACGGCGAGTGAGGTTACCGTAGAAGCCCTCCAAAGCACAAATGAGGCGTCGCGGCCCGCCAATAGCAGCCCACAAACCAGCCCAAATTGGCAGCACAATTTTATCAAAACATTTGGTCTTATCAAAGAACATGGTGCTGAGGGAAGCACTTACCCCGTTGACGGCTTCCTCATGCAACAAGGCCATCTCGAGGACTTGCTCCAGAGGCTCCCCAAGAACCTCAGATGGGCATACCCTATGCAACCACAACTTGATGTGTCGGTAGCGAAGACTAGCCCAGACAGCGCGGATGACAGCCGCGCACGAAATGGGCCGCAGCTTGAGAGGCTCGGTACCCTCCCCTTTGGAAAGTAAAGTGACATTCACTGACAGCATGGATGACGGCCACAAACCATGCGTTTCAGCAACATCCAACAGCCGGGCCATGGGATCCCAAAACACAACCGGGAGATGCTGTAGCTCGTAGGTGCGCCAACTGTCCAAACCGCCGACCGCGTGTTTGGGCCTGTCATGGACTTGTTTCATGAGGTCAGCGCCTGAGATGGCAGGAAGTTCACAAGGTAACGCCATGGCAGAGATTTCCTCAGCGTATTCCTCAAGGAAAGCCGCCGGAGAAGGCGCATGACTACGATCAAAAATCTTTGCCCAATCATCAGCAACCTTACCCAATATTTTGTTAATGTCAAAGGTGAGTGTGCCATCCACGACCATGGAATGCATTCGTGGAGCAGGCGGAGCTTTGAGGAGCCCGAAAAGACCCTTGGATGAAGAAATGTCGGAATCGTGGAGCATATGCTTCCAGTGTTGCCGCCTGGAATCAACCACGAGCCTCAACTGATCGTCAATTTCAATTTCAAGAGCAGCTAGGGCCTCTTGAACCTGAGAAAAACTGGGGCACTCCGGCCAAGAATGATGCAACAGCTTACGGCCTAAGCATCTACCACGCTCCCAGGTAGATTCAAACCGGATCCTGTCATGAATGGGGAGGTCCGCATCCCCATACCTGTTTAGGATACAAAGGCACTCCCGCAGACACCTAGCAGCCCGGCGACCCTCACGAAGACGATGCGGCTCAGAAGGCCCACAGTAACTACCTGAACCCATAGCGGGAACGACCTGAGGCTTGGCAAGTGTTCCACGCGGTGGGAAACGAACACCCACACGGCGGGAAAGGAAGGAGGTCGCAGCCTCACACCAGATGCCATATGCAGAATCAACAGCGCGTGAACCGACAGCTTCTGTAAAGGCATCAGAGAAAGCATCCCATACTTCCTTAGCTAACTCATGTTCATCCTCTAAAGGCATGATTGGCCACGTCTCTGGAGGTGGACCAGCTGGCTCAAGCGGAGTAACAACCACCTTGGCATCATGCAATGCAGACGTATTCAAGGTCACCTGCAGAGGAACGTGATCAGGTCGACGCTCACCAATCTGCAGCGGCATGAGATTCCTGTTAAAATCGACTCTATGCTCAAAGGACTCAACCATACAAGCAGCAAGGGCGTTAGCCAAAACGAGATCATTGAGGGTGCGGGTAGCATCTTCTGCGTGCCACTTTCCCCCATGGCACCAAGTAGGAGCACCGCCAAGCTCACACAGGTCGGCGAGATCCTGCCAACCGTGATGGAACCATTGTTGAAAAACAGACGATGCGATAACATCAGATTGAAAGTCACCCCCAAGCAAGATTGGAACATGGCCAAGACCAGCGGTGTAAAGCTGGAGGGCCCACATAAACTTCTCGTTGTAAGATGGGTCACTTACCTTGCAATACACATTCAACAGATGTACCTTGACACCTTCAAGAGAAAGAATGACATGCTGGAAACGACCATCCACTGCATATGCGTGCATATCCCCAAGTGAGGTAACTTCCAGCGCAGGAAGCCTGGACGGAAGAGCGCAACAGACCCCAGTACTCGTCCCGTCGAGTGGCCCCTGGCCCCACAAAACTGCACGGTTGAACGTGCTAAGTGTGCGTGTCATTTCCTGCTTCCCCCTCGGAAACAAGGAAATTTCCTGGAACAACAACACGTCCGACTCACACCCAAGCGATGCTCGACGGGCGGCCAAAGAAGTGACATTGGCCCACACGATTGAAACCTTTGAGGACCTCATCGCATGGCTACGGTGTCTACCGCACCCATGCTTCATTGACACAAGATGATACAAGTCACGCACTGGAAGTGGTCTTTTGCCGCTTGTCTGCCAACAGTGTGTGCATCATCTGAGCAATATCATCTTTTGTGGCAACATTGGACAAGCTGTCTTTAACGGTGTGTTGCAAACCAACAAAATCATCCTTGAGGGAATTGATCTTTTTGGCCTGGCTGTCGAGGTCACCCTTGATGGCAGCAAACCTGCGATCCACGTATTTTTTGAGTTCGGAATCGTCATGCTGAGGAGCTTGCTTAGCAACTCCTTCAGTGGATGCGGGCGCCTGAGAGGAGCTGGGAGCAGTGAACTTGACAGGGTCATACTTACGACGCTCAACTTTGAGGGCTTGCTTTTGATCAAGCAATCGCTGATGCACTTCTTGGGGCGTAGCAAGCTTTTCAAATAGCACCGTGCCTGTGGATGTGGAAAGCTTTTCCTTGGCAGGCTCAGTATCAGCAGCAACAACCCAAGTGCGATGACCCTTGTGCACGAAACTTCTCAAAGGCCGTACGGACCAAGGGGTCCAGCTCTGAGCTTGCACCGCAGTTGACAACAAGGCTTGCACATCATCGGCCTCAGTCTTTACAGGCAAGCCAGAGACCTCATAATGTAATTCGCCACGGATTTTCGCAGCAGATTGAGCGACCTTACCGGGTTGAAGCACGGCACGGGCCTGGGCCAGTTCATCACCGGAACCTACCACGCGCACACCCAAACCCTGCCTGTTCACAGCCAAGCCTTGGATACCAGCAAGTGGTTGGATCCGAGCTTGCAGTTCATCAACCGTGGTAATGGGAACCCACAAGATCACCGCATCATCCTTGTCATGACCTACCCGCTTCAACCTTCGGATAAAAATGCCATGTGAGCCACTCTGCTGCAACAAACGGGTGGCATCACTAGCTAAAGCACGCGCTGCACACTCACACGAGGATTGGTGATGATTGTAGCCATAAACCTCTGCAAGCACTCCAGTGGGCTCGGTAACGCAGTGACAATCTTGGCCATGGCTTTCCGGCCACCTTGGAAAACACGCTGCCACAGATCACCAGCATAGCGCTTATGAACGGCAAACCAGAGCTCAGCCGTATCACTAACAGGAACCTTGAGGTCAGTAGGCAAAGCTGCGAAAGCAACAGGGATGGCACCTAAGTTGATCAGCGTCACGCGCCTTCTCTTTGAGAGGATCACGGATGGTAAGTTCCCCAGCGACTGCCGCAGAACTACCCAAGTCTCCTGTGATAAGGAGGGATTGCAAGTCCTCCCTGTCCTGACCTGGGACAATCAAACATAACGCCTGCTGACTGCGAACCCATTTGTGCCTGTCAACAGAAGGCAAAGTAGCAAGAACTACTCCTTTACCCTCAGGCTGCAAGTCCGACATGGCCAACTGTGTGAGGTCAGGTTGCAACTCATCCATGTGGGGAATTTGCAAATCCTCCCATTTGGAGGTCACAGGCTTGGCTTTCGGCTTTGCTACCTTGCGCTGCGCAAGCGCCTGCTGCCAAGGATCCCTTTCAAGCCAAGGATCAACGGATGGCGGAGCTGAATCAGGGGAATTGCCATACAAGGCATGCATGAGCTTATTCCACATGGCAGCCAAGACCATATCACAACCAGAGAGGTTATTAGCATACAAGATAGCAAATGCAAATCGAACCTCCCAGGCATCGTTAGTCACCACCCGTCCCCCAGAGGGACAAGTGGTGTGCCCCTTGGCCCTCGTGCCGGTGATGCCAATCACGGGATCAAGGCGTCCCGTGCCAAGGGTGAAAGGTATGGCGATATAGACCCCAAAACGCTCTATTCCTTATTATAGGGACCACAAAAAGGTACCCTAAACCCTAAACCCTAAACCCTAGACCCTAAACCCATAAATATGGAAAACCCCCGTAGTGCAGCCTCCCTTGGCAGTTCCAGCTTGGGCCTCGAGGCCCAGGGTTCTCAGCTGAAACGGTTTAGGGTTTAGGGTTTAGGGTTTAGGGTTGCAGAAAGCGTGGGACCGACGATGCTTATATTGGGTGGTTTCCCAAAAATTAGGGTCTATTGGGGTTATAGTGGGATAATGGAAAATAAACTGGAAACTACTATTTAGGGTTTAGGGTTTAGGGATTAGGGTTTAGGGTTTAGGGTTTGGGGTTTCCCAACAGTTAGGGATACCTTCTCGGGGCCGCCGTAACAAGGACTATAGCATTTTGAGGGTTACATTGGGGTCCCCATATCTACAGAAACTACCATATAAAATATGAAAGGAAACCGATGAAGATACTCTATACAATGCACACAGATCCGACGGCGCAAACGAGGCCCCTTCATTTGCTTCGCATGCAGTTGTTGTCTTAAAAAAAGGTATGCATCGAGCCTGAAACTGCTTTACGGATGCCATGCGCATCCCATAGCTTGACCATATGCGCAGAACAGACCTTTTCGGCAATTAGGCGCAATTTCCAGACATAAAGACGAATCTTTATTCCAGCGTAAGTCCTACAATATCAAAGCAATTTCCTTTCTACTCCGCACGTTCCTGGTGGATCGGCCAATGTACTGCAACGACACTGATACGTCTAGCAAGAGCATTAGCGCAATTACCTGCATAGCCTCTTCAGAACCATTGCGCCGAATTCAAGACCTCAACACCTACCCTTAAACTTGAAACCCTTAATTCTAAGCCTCATACCCAAGCCCCCAGCCTCTGAGCCCCCAAACTCTAAGGACTCTACGAGAGACCCCAAATAGGGACCCTTGTAGCNNTGGGGACTACCTAGGGATATAGGAGTTACATAATGACCATATAAGGGTTATATATGGTAATGGGATTAAGGGTCCCTATTACGGGTCCCTCCTAAAGTCCCTAGACAAACACAAATCCGTGAGGTGCGCCTGAAGCGCTCGTTGCGCTCCCGGATCTTCTTCTCCAAGTCGGCAAGGCTTCCGCCTCCGAGATCCTGAAGCGGATCCTGGGCCCAGGGCTGCTTTAGGGTTTAGGGTTTAGGGTTTAGGGAATACAACTCTGCACTACAGGTAATAACAGAAATAAATACTCTAAGACTAACCGTCACATTGATATGATAGCTGTAAAAAAAGCATCTAATGACATACGTAGATGTGTATGAGGGGAATATTCGTTGCTAAGGATTCTGAGAGGGGGGGTATTATGTGTTACTTTGGGATGGTTTGCTTCTGAGAAATTATGGGTTTGGGGATGCAGGAGTAGGAGTTTGGTGCTTGAGGACTCAAGTGCTGTTTGTGCCTTGGACGTTAAGTGTCGCAACACGGCAATCGACACGCCCACGCATACTGAGAGACTTCTGTCATCTCCCCCCATAAACCAACACCCGAACCCTGACCCCCCAAAACCCAGAAATCTAAACTCTTAACCTCAGAGCCTCAAGCCTCAACCCTAACCTCCAAAACCCCGTAAGCCCTGAGCCTGAAAAAGAGGGCTGTTCTCCTAATCATGCGCCTCTTTGAGTTGTAGATTATCTTACAGCACCCAAGTTTTGGGTCTTGGAATTATCCTAAACCCTAAACCCACCCCAAGCCCCAAACCCCAAACCCTAAAACCCCTGAACCCTAAAACTAAAACCCCAAACCCTAAACCCAACACCCTAAACCCCAACCCCTAAAACCCTAAACCCTGTATCCTTAGTATGCTTCACGTAAGCTCTCTCAGCTAGCCTCCGGCTTGATTGTAGTCACCGTGGTGGCACCAAACCTCGCTGGTTTCGGTTTCTGGGTTTGGATATTTAGGGTTATAGGGTTCAGGGTTTAGGGCTTATAGTTTAGGGCTAAGAGTTTGGACTTAAGGTTTAGGCTTTAGGCTTTAAAGCTTAGTGTCATGGGATTGAATGATTGAGGATTAACGTTTTTTGGTTTAGGGGTTAAGGGATTGAGGGCTTGGGGAAGGTTTGAGGCTTAGGGACTTTTTGCTTAGCTTTTCACGCGTCAGCTGCCCCTCCCAACTTGCAGGGATTTTGCCTTCACAAGCTCTTGATGCAGTTTAGGGGCTACACAAATAACACCTATACAATCCCAGTGTCCATTTCATTTTCCATTTTCTTTTCCATTTGATTCTCCATTATGGGGCCCTAAACCCTATTATGGGGTCTTATTGCTTCTGAGTTGTTACTCTGAGTCATCCACACCAAGTAGATGGCCAGCAAACAGACAGGCGTATTGCAGCCCTAGACTCTGTACTTACGACGGATCTGCCTTGCTGGTAGGGAGCTTAAACTACATTACCGCCATGAGGGCTTCTCATGAATGATCTGGTTTCCTTGGCATGCAAACTTCAGTCACGCATCTGAACAGCAAGACAGGCATGAGCCAGTTGGTTAGGTTTGGGGTCTGTTAGGACATGGGTGTTTTCGGGGCTTTTACAACTGCCTCTGCAGTCGGACAGCTGGGAATGCACTACGCGAGAAAATCCTGACAGTGAGCGGGGGCCTAAGGGAGTAGGCAACCGAGGAATCAAGAAATCTCCGATACTCCATTCACTGGCAGCTGCCTCTTGAGCAACCTGCGCCAATGGAACCTTGCAAATATCATGCGCCAAGGAGCGTGGATCCAGTAGCCTCACGCTTGGCTTCTGCCACCTGGTGGCGCAAGTCCTCAACAAAACCAGATAAAGATGGACTCGGAGTCATGGACTGCTTGCCACGGAGAATCCACCCACAGACCCTGAACCCTCAGCTGATGTCCTCCACGTCCTTGCGCACCTCACTTGACAGCTGCTTCAAGTCCTCGAAATGCAGGCCGCACAGGGTTCTCGTATCCGCGAACCGAAGCTCTGCAGATTGTATCTTGGATTGGGTCCCTTTAGGCCCCATTGAATAATGGACTGCACCTGCGAAAGTGCCAGGCTGCATGCGGAAACCAATCTTATCAGGAACTGGACCGGATTGTCTTCACGAGTACATGAACCAGTGCGCATCACAGGTGCGGGTTGTCTCCGCTTTGCAGGCTCTTTGGACCATTTCGGACCACTGCGTTGAGGAGCCAGTTTAGGGTTTTCTCTAGCCTTTTTTCGCGACCGTCCACGCTTGCCTTTGATTGCCTAAACTAATTACTGTTCCCAAAGAGGGGGACCTGCATACCATGGACACTACCGAATCACAACCCCCTTGTACAGACTTGTACCATGCCGCGTGTAGCCAGTTGAGGGAGACAGTCCTGCAGCTGACCGCATACCTCGCCTTGGAATTTGCCGAGCTCTTCTTTGACTTGCCTGGCAAAGGGGCTTCCTGTTGAAGATTTGTGCGTGAGGGACCCTGGCCCTAGGAATAAGGCTGCAAGGGTTTATGACATGGGGTCTCGAAACGCAATCGTCCTGCTTTGAGCAAACAGTGGGTCCTATGCCCTTTGAGCACAAAAGCGCATCGAACGACGACCCGCCTTGTAATCTCTTGAACCTCCGTCACAAGGCTTGACTGAGCAGGAGCTGGCTCAGCCGGCGGAACGTCCTGGATATTCACCCAGTCTGGGCAGATAACTTGTTAACAAACAACGAAAAGGTTCCGCTGTTGGCTGGAAAAAGCTTGTGCTGCCTGCCTACATATTGTAGTGCACTGAGACAAAGTGCTATGACCGCAGTCGTCGGTAGCAGCAATGCTACTTGTCGCAGATTGCAGCGCTGGCGGGAGCGGTGGCAATGGCAATGCCATCGGCAGCGGCAGCAGCAGCAGCAGCAGCAGCAGCAGTAGTACAAGTAGCATCTGCACCACTGCCAGCCGTAGCAAGCAATAGCAACAATTCTTGTGGCGGGCTGGCGCTGATTGAAGAAGCAGCGGCGCCTAGAGAATGATTGCCAGGATTACAATACCAACAGTTCCTGCGCCAGCAGAGGGACAACAAGACTCGGAGTCAAAAAGCTCTCAACAAGATGATGCTGGCAAGTACACGTTCTGATAAGGTACCAAATCCGTATGCCATACTAGCCATCCACCCCAACCTAACGCAGCTCGAGCCACCTTCGAGGATGCTGCCGAATCATCTGTGACACCCAAAGCTTTTTCCAGTGCGCCTGCGGCACGTGCCTCAGCACAGGCAAAGAATGTGGACACCTCAAAGCTATATTAGACTATTGGCGTGGGCCTTACTGTTATCTCAGATCGAGAACAACGAAAGTGTATTCCAGTGAATTCCCAATTTCGGACAGGTTGACAGTGCACATTTTGGGCTGGGGCTTACATCAAGTCAGCCTGGAGAGCCGCAGACATCTGCAGAGCCCAGGAAAACTCTGTTTGAAAATCAGCGCTGAAACCCTACCGCCATGCCTCGACCTCAAAACCCAAGGCCAACCCGCCACAGGTGCGCAGCTTGATGTCTTCAACAATAGCGATGACCTTCCTACAAAATAGCCAGGGACCATATGGGAAACATCCTACAAAACCCAGCCTGAATAATGATAAAGCAGTAATCTTCCTACAAGTGTCCAAATCGACATACCCAGAATTCTTAGGGGGAATTTCTTTGCACCGAAAGTCCTTACATTTCCTCACATGACCCCTCCTGACTCTCCACATGATGCTTGCAACCCGTGCGTTCACCCTTCTAAGCATGCGAGACTCAGCACCCCTTTCCCACCTTCACATCCTCGATATTCACGGACTGCTCGCCACCTGCTTCCTCGCCGCCACTCAGCCCCAGTGCCTCGCAAGGTCTGCACTTGGGTAACCATGATAAGAGAAGGGCGGCACATTTTTTGGGGTTACCACATTATACAAAAACACAAAGAAAAAAGACCCGCTTGCTGAAACCTGCGTATACACTGTGATTTCATTGATCATCATCATGACAAGGGGCGCAACTAGTAGAATTCGCTTTTCCATGCCTGCGTCAATGCTACTTTGGCTCACTGCAGGGCTGTGAAGCCATGGATGGTGTTGAATGCCATCTGATCTGGCATATTGGCGGAGTATCCCTGCAGAATGAAGCATGCCTGTCCGAACCCCCCCCTCTGAGAGCTAGTCAGCGTGACATCGAGCCGGGCAAACAAGCAACGAACCCTGTCCCATCCAAGCCTTGTGCAGCGCATCGCAGGCACGGGCCTTCGAAAAAGAAAGATGCAGAAGAGAATTAAAGAAGCCCTGGTTCGCACTGCGAACACGGGAAGAAGTCGCTTGAAAATCGAAAAGGGCGGAAGTTCCATCAGTTGATCGTAGGGGCTTTAGGTGGAGGACTCGCTTTTTTTGATACCTTTTGTTGATCCCGCGCACCCTGCGGTCCCGAATGTTCTGCATCCTGCACCTTGGGTTGAAGCCCGACTTCTAGATCCTCCCTTGATCCCCGGTTTAGGGTTTAGGGTTTAGGGTTTAGGGTTTAGGGTTCAGGGTTTAGGGTTTAGGGTTTAGGGTTTAGGGACTTTGTAGAACAAATTTGTCCCCAACGCCTCACATACATGAGCACCAATTCCGCATTTGTCAACATTGGGGTATCCCAACATGCACTCAAACCCCAAAAAAGTCGCTGCAATAGAAATCTCAAAGAACGAGCAACTGGAAAACCCCATGGCCTTGGGGGTTATATTAGTTATATTGGTGCTATTTTGGGAGAATGGAACCTAAAATGGAAACTACTATGATGGGGTTATATGTATACATATATATATATCTTTATATATATACATACACATATCTAAAGGGTTTAGGGTTTATGTCACCGCCATGCCCTGCCTTGACATCCTGAATGTTCAGCTCTGCCTGATCTTCGCGCGGAGGAGGTGCCGGCGGCGCCATGGCCTGCAGAGAGGCTTTACATTAACGAGTGCTGATGCTGCATGCCGACGATGATGACCATAATGATGATGATGACTACTTGGTTATTCTTCAGAAGCTTTCAGTAGCACTGACACAGAAATTGCCATCGTCACAATCGCACTCACTGACGCTGTCGTCCGTCGACGTTTTCGTTTTGGACGTTGCCGTCACTGTCGACGCAGTGAAACGAATGAGCTGTTGAAGGTACAAGGTAGTTTCCCTAAATTACTGTTCCCAAAATGGGGGAAATTTATATAGGGCCCCGTATTATAATGGGAACCCAAATATAGGACCCCGTATTATAGGGAATTTAGACCAATACCCTTGACAAATGCCCAGGGCGCCTCAGGTTCAGGGACGGCCTTTGGCTGCTCTGCGGGGGCCTCTGCATCTTCGGGCTCCTCACACGTCAGGGGAAAGGAAGTTTGAATCGAAGGTTTCAAGAGGGAGGACTCTTGAGGCCGCACAAGTTGTTAGGGCTTCAATTCAAGGGCCTACAAACAGCAACCTTGTCCTGACCTGCAAACAGGCATCATTGTGTTGCAGTACGGAATGAGATCACAGTCATGCATCGATCCAAGCAAAAGGCTCAATGACAGACATAGAATTCGACAGACAAGTGCCGTCTGACAAGGCATTCCAGCTAAGGTTAATAAAGCAAATAAGTAAGGCCAAATGCGGCTTACGAATTTGAGTTGAGTTCAAAATGCAGCAAAATGTACAAGCAAGGACGGTTTCATGAAGATGGTGAGGTCCCGACCACTGCCTCAACTGAAGGACCACAAGAAGAATCCACAAAGCCCAAATCATCCAAGCAATGCCTACACAACCTTCGTGAATTTGTCCAAGTTCCCATTTCATTGCCCGGTGTCTTTTCCATTTGATTCTCCACGACTAGAAGATCTGGTCAGGAGGAGGACGTGGGAAGCAATCGTGCCATGCGCGCAGTAGATACAGGGAAGGTCAGCCAAAGTCTGCAGGTGAACCTAATCTAAAGTTCAAAGTTTGTCCGCCAATATTTGTATCGGTGTGTGGAACTGCATATGTACCTCCATGTCCTCCTTGGGAACCCTAGACCCAAGACCTCAAACCCCATGCAATCACAGATGGCTGGCCTCCATTGCCAGGGCCTTGACGAGGGCGTCTGCAGCCTTTTCCTTCACGGCCTGGACATCCTGGCTTTAGGGTAGGGCTCAAAAGGTGTGATGAAGGGATGTCGGTTACAGGGTCCCTAATATACAGTATATTGGGGCTTCTTTCCCATACCCCACCTTCCTTCACCCCACCATTTGAGCCCTCTGACTTTTGGGTTAAGGGCTCTGCAGGCTTTATAGTTTAGGTGGACCCTCATACTGTAATAGTGTAGGGTTTAGGGTTTAGTGTTTAGACACGCGCATCGCACCGGCAAACACTGTCCTGTCCGGGCTAATCAGCACATTGACTGAACTGACTCTAGTAAACTAACTCTGACTGACGGAAGCTACCGCAGGCACTCTCAGTTCAGCAGGTAGACATAAGCCGAACATCACTGGCTAGCTGTGTTTAGGGTTTAGCGTGTAGGGCTGGACCCCCAACCAGTAATAGTGACTACAAGAGATACTAAGGATCAGATTAGGGTCCTGTCATATGGTAGTTTCCCAAAATAAGGGGACCCCAATATAGACCCCAAAATACTACAGTCCTTATTATAGGGACCCCTAAAAAGGGTACCCCTAATTTTGGGAAAGCCCCATACTCCTTGGGCATCCTCAGTCTTCGCGCATGCCATCATGGCAGCAAGCAATCACGGGCTATTTCATGTTAGACTTGAAAATCCTTGAACTGAAAGCCTGATCCAAGCCCGCGAAGCCCTATGCCCCAAAACTGAACCCACCCAGGCCCTACTTTTGAAAGCCACAACCCTGAATTCCAGTACCCCAACTTGCCTGGCCAGTCTCAGTGCTGCAATTGTCCGCTGCCCAGCCAGCCAAAAGCCCGGCAACCTACCACAAGGGCCACAGGACCACCGTGAACTGTCACAGATTGAGGTGGTTGTCTTCGTTAAAGTGACAGCGAAGCACTTAAGTCACTTAAGTCCAGAAGACTACAGATACAGCGACTGGCATGTCAGAAGGCAGCCCGTTGATCTACGCTGCGGCGAAAAACACAAAAAGAAAGAAGCCGACTTACGAAAAGCGGGGAGGCTTGCTTTCTTCAATAAGCTTCTTCCGTCATGGGCTTTGATTGCATCCTAAGATTTTGAGAGCACCATGACAATTTGCAAGTTTGAGGAGGTTGCATCTAGGATTGACAAAAGGAAGAAAGGGAGCGACGGAAAATCGCAGCCTGCTTTGTTGAGGATATCTCTTCTGTGTGTTCCAAGTGCCTCCTTCCCTAAAACTGAATGATTGCCACGTTCCCCTTGAAGGAAGTATGTCTTATCTCACACATCCCCACACCAAACTCAAGTCCCCTAGTCTGTAAGACGAAAAATCTCTCCCCACAGCGTGAAATCAAGCTCCGCTTCCACATCTATAGTCCCCCTTACGTAGATAGAATATGGACTATATGGGGATCTTATTATAATATACCCAGAGCCTTATTCTATCTACCTAGCGGGGACTATAAACCCTACACCTAAACCCTAAATAGTAGTTTCCGTGTTCTTTTCCATTATCCCTCTATAAACCCCAATATAACCCCTATATACTATATAGTAGTTTCCATTTTATTTTCCATTATCCCTAAATAAACCCCATATTCAATCTACTTAAGGG